AGTGACAATTGGAAAGGCAGTAGAAGCCTGAGCCGGCACTTCTTGATCCAAATTTCATCAGACACGAACATTTACCACTGCGTTCATGTGCGATTTGAAAAATAAAATGCGCGCAGAACTCGCAGTCACTCACCTGAACTCAGCCCCGTACAACCGTCATTTAAACGGTTGAAAAATAAGCCCGAGGTGAATAAGCCCGGGCTTATTTTCCTCATGTAAACGGCCCCTATGTGTTGTCTCTGCTGCTTGCTTGCTGTTGTGTCCAGGTGCGTTTGTTTGTAGCCCGCTTGGCGTCCACTCTGTTGGAACACTGTAGACGGTAAGATGCTTAGGTCAGCAGGTGTGATCTCCTTTGCCCTTTCACGGTGATTAAATATCCAGTCTAAATGAGGCAACTATTTCGTACCTTATTTTATCCATAGCCGCAGCTGCCCTTGGCGTCACACTCACATGTGTCATTTCATCCGTTGCGTTGTCTCCAGGTCGTTATCTGCCAGTGTGACCATTCTGGTTGAAATGCTAGTAGCGCTGATAGCTGATGGCTACTCCCAAGTTGCCCTGGTGGCTCGTACTGCGCTGGTAAGCAATTGTCAATTTAGGCCATGGTAAAAAATAAAGTTGATTCTCAGGTCATGAGCCTGTGAAAATCGGTGCGAGCGAGCGATTTTTTATTTTATTTCCCACAATTTTTTTATTCCCAAAGATAGGGTCACACATATGTACGTCATAGGTTCATATAATTATTTATTATTCAGGCCGGGGGAGTTGAAAAATACCGGTATTTTACTACTCCCGGATTCATGCCTTTCGCATTGACCGTTTTCATGCGCGCATATGCATACATGTACATAGAAATAAAAAAATTCGTCGGTGCGCCGCCAAAAATCGGTGCGCGCGTACTTGAGAATCAAAGATATTTTTTACCATGGCCTTATCAGGAATTTTTTCATCGGATTGCCGAGTACTAGTAGCTCATTGGTATTTCCCCTGAGCAGGGTTTTACCCTGGCTATGCAGTATGTCTCTGCCATGTTCACCTTTTTGTCACTTGTATGTTTCATTGGTTGGTTGCTTGTAGTCACGGTTGACCAATATTATGTTTGTTGTTGCTCCGTGTGTATTGCTGCAGACACACTTTTCCCATCATCTAAACACGGGTAAGTTCTAAAGTGGATGTGCTTGTAGTGAGGCACAGTGAGTTGTATATGTCGTAGCGGGTTATGTACATTAGTAACGGAGGTGTAGGTAGCAGGGGGTGAGGGTGGCGGGGACAGGAGGTCGGGGAGTCTACAGGATATTTATGCTCCTTTGTATGTAAAAAAAGGTGTATGCCAATGGCTCAGTGCACCGGTTGGGGCTGTGAATTTCACCCTGAAACATTGAGCTCACGAAAAAACTACAACAACAAGTTGTTGAGCTGATTTGCCTACGGTCTGTGTTTGTGTGTGTGTTTCCCTGTCATATGCAGCGTCAGTACCTCTTGTGTCACTGTTGGAGGATGGCATGTATCGCGCTGCCTCTAATCTACCTTCTGTGATGACAGCTACTGGTAAGTGCTAGCGCTGCTCACTGTGTTTCTGTGTTTCCTCTCCTTGATGCCGATATTCCAGATGCTGCAGATCAGTGCACTGCTGAAAAATTGTGAAAATACTGCTTTTTCTAAGTCCTGGTGCAGGGGATCCACGAGGTCAACCTTTTCAAAATAATGTTTGCTGACAAGCTGCTCACAAACTGAACTGGCTAGGTAGGTGTATACACTGAGCTGGGCTGCTCTCTTTCTCTCTACGTCCACCGCACTTTCTGTTTGTCTTGGGTTTGGTTCTGATAAATGTGAATCACCCGTTGCTAACCGTTTGTTTGAGCATCCTGAATGTCATGCTGCATGTTCAGATGATTGTTTTCAATTTTGTCATGTGTGCGTAGTGCTAATTTATCAAATGCTTTAGATGCTTTCCTTAGCACTCTCCAACTCCACTGCAGCGTTTTCTTTCCAATTGTAATTAGTAAACACGTCCATTCCCCGAACAGGCTCTCACCTACAAAAAAAAGAGAGAATAAATGAATGAAATGCTAGAATGGACTCGGATGGAGAGCCAAGGATAGATTTAAAGTAAAGAAAAAGGACCAAGAAACTACAAGTTACGCTAGAATGTCCACTAACATCACCAGTTACTAAACAATCAGCTCATGCGATAACATTGCACGACACTGACCGACAGTACTGACGTTCTACAACTAACTCCCCTCCTCATGTTATTTCTAAAACTTAGAACCTTCCAAGTTGGAAGGCTGTTGGAGTGCGCATCCAAGATGTGCTGGAGCTGGTAGCCAGTTAGTTGTAGAACGTCAGTACCGTCGATCAGTGTCGTGCAATGTTATCGCATGAGCTGATTGTTTAGTAACTGGTGATGTTAGTGGACATTGTAGCATAACTTGAAGTTTCTTGGTCCTTCTTCTTTACTATGAATGAAATGCTGCCAATATTTAGCCTATTGGGCATCATCAGGGCAATGAATGCAAAATATTGGCAGTACTTTATTATTGTCGTGCAACTGAGACATGTTTACAGCTTTAGAAGCTGTTTATTTTCACACCAAGACGCCTCACTTCTGCAAGCAGAAACACATGTTTTTCACTCACAAAGCAACTGTTCAGTACATGGGGTAGTGGTCTACCAGATCAATCACACTCGCCACGATGGCAGGTTCAACGGAGTTGCGCAGAACAAGAGCAAACGCACGAACATATTTGTGAGTGAAAAATACGTTTTTTGCACTCTTTCGCTACGCTCAGCCGTGAAAAAACAAAACATAATTCACGTTTAGGCTGTTTGGTAGGTCGCCAACAACTCGTTAGTTTTTGCCCATTGGTTGTCTATTGTTGTCGCAACATCGCACGCTTGTTAGGTTTCTTCAAAGTTGCACCTTTTGTCATTCCTTCTATGGGTACGAGTTGCACATTTGGCCGTGTTGTGTTTGGCTATTCTTCTTTGCGCTGTTTCTATCACATCTCTGCTGTATAACATTCATCTTGCTTGTTCAGTTTCCTTTTTGCGTGTATTCCACCTGATGGGAAAGCATTGAAAAGTTCTTTTTTCTTCTTCAAAATGTTGCTTGTCAGGAGTCCGGAGCCTGTTGTTTTCTTGAGTGTGGCTTTTCTTTCTTTCTCTCCTTTTCCTTATTTTGTTCGCTTAGATGACCGGAAGAAGCTCTCCTGTACTCTGCTGCTGCAAGGATACATCCAATTGCTTGGTGAGTAGGGCCGTACCTCTATCTGACTATGTGTTTCTTCCACATAGTGCACATAGTGCGCATGGTAATGTGCATGGCTGTACAATAGAGTGGTGCATGTGTAGTACACGTAATCACCTGTACAGTACCTGACAGGGTTTGCATACATGTATCAACTACCGGTGCTTCGAGTATGCTCCCAAACACACCGTAGCAGCCATCACGGCGTACAATGTATCCATTGCACTGCACATTGTGTTCGTTGAGGTGTGCATGTCTAGTTTGCACTCTGGCTGACGCGCACTGTGCATCACATGTATATTCACACTGCTGCCGTCAGCACGAGCTATTGTTTTCCATGTGGATGTTGCGACCCGACAATGCCTGGAATCGTTTGTGCACTATGTAGTGGAGCACTAGTGGATGTGCTGAACGCTGATATAGTGAAGGTAATTTAGATGATGCTAGTAGCTTGGTCCGTATGTGTATATGAACTGGCTGCTCACCAGTATGATTTTTAAAGGAGCACTGAAATCATGGTTGTAGTCTCTTCACTTGTTCCTTTTCCACATCCAGGTCCCAAGCTTTCAACAATATTGTTATCACCTCGACTAAGTCAACGTCTCTTCCATGCCCTTCTCATGGTAAAGTACAGCTGCTGGTTGTCTGCACCATTTTTCCGACTAATTCCTTTGAGTATGTTTCCTGCGCATTGATCTTACGCGCAGGCTCTCGTCTGCCCATGGCAATCTGCTGCAATATGGTCATCATGTGCGTGCGTGCGTATGTGTGTGTGTGTGTGTGTGAGTGTGTGTGTGTGTGTCCATGTATGCGTTCATGCGTCCCCAGGCTCTGGAGATGGATACTTCGCACGCATCGATATCGATCTCGCACTCTCATGATACGGGTATGTATGAAGTGTTGCACTACTCTCATGATACGGGTTTGTGTGAACTGGTGTTACACTGCTTGTCGTGCACTGCACGTTTGTTCATGGTAGCCAATGCGCACATGTGTGTATGTGTGTGCGTGTGACTTGCAGATGGTAACAGTGCAGTTCGCGTTGCCGGTGCTCACCGGCAGCATAGTCAGCTCACGTTCAGGCATTTCCGTGACGAGGCGATCGCCAAGGGTTTGCTGCTATCATGCTCACTGCTGGGCTACTACGGTGAGGATGCACATTTGCTTGCTGTGGTAGGCCGAACTCTAACACTCCTCTCGTGATATGCTGTTTGGCTGAGCCACTATATTCGTTGCCATCTGAGCAAGGACCGTAGCACCAAGAACCATTGCTGCTGCACTTCTGGCTAGGTGCAGCCTTAAACACTGTTGGCAATCTGATCGAGTCGGAAAGAGGCCAGTGATTTATCCGAAGACCGACCATAGTAATTCTGGTATTTATGCCCTTTCTGAGGACGACCAGACCAATGGCACATTGCTTTGGTTGGCATCATTCGTTTGTATTCGTTTGGATACGCGATGGAAGGAATATTTTCTCCTTTGGAATATTCGTTTTAGGTTCGTTAATGCATGCTTCGATCTACGATTGTACGGGCATTGTGCCCAGTGCACACTCTGCTCAAGTGTCGATCTATCATAGTAGTTCTAACTTAGAACGGATGGAGTGATTCATGTACTCATGACTGATTCCATTCTCGTTTCTAGCTGCCTGCCTATCTTGGCTCTGTGGGCGCTCCGTCTCTTCAGTGTTCATCCTGCCCATGAGTACGTGCCGCGTATGTGCATCATATCGGTGTCTTTTCTGTTTTCACTTTGATGCGTGCTAAGGTGACCTGAGCAGTGTTGTGGATTCACTGCTTGACATTCTTCTACTGCAACCACATCTACACAAGCAGGTCGTTCTGGTCATTAACACTGCCGTGTCAGGCGCAGCTGGTGTAGGTAAGAGCTACTTTGCGCTGGAAAATATCTGAGATTTTTGCACTGTTCCTGCCTTCATGCTCCCAGAGAATAGGGATGTTGCCAGTGAACGTACATGTAAACGGCCTTACCTGAGCTGCCCCCGAGTGCTGTTGTTTTGTTATTGATTTCCAAGATTCCTTCTGAATCTGCCCACCCTCTCCAGGGGAGGCCCATATGACTAGTTTCTGGCAGTGAGCAAGTGCATGTACGGTACTGTGAAACTTGTGTGCATGCATGCATGCATGCATGTGCGCGTATCTGTGTGTATGTTCATGATAAGCTCGGCACGTGACATATTGAGTAGTACTTTCCCAGCGGTTACTGCAACGTTCTGTGTACATGATTGTGTACAAACTCTGCTTGTTGCTGCAGGTCTGGATTCCGTCTCTGATTTACAAGTAAGCACCGCGTATAGGGTGAACTGTATTAGATCTGTACTTGTAGTAGGATTACAAGTACAAGTACAGTTCTGTCCATTGTATTTTGAAGTGCGTGCATACTGAGAAAGGCGAATAGAGCTGTCTTACCGCAACTGTGAAGTTTCATGCACAAGCGATCATCAGGCAGCACAATGTCATGCTAGTATACTGAAGTGTGTTTCTGTCTCATTCCCTGCCATGGTACAAGCGACTGTTTGCTAAAATTGGTGCCTTGTCACGTTCAAACGTGCATGTTCAACATCTGGCAGTTGAAGTGGTGCACACATTATGCCCTAGCCTGGCTTTTGAAGAAGAGTAAATGTGGAACGGAAATGCTCTGTGGTTGACTAAATATTAGACAGCTGGGTGTTGATGAATGTTGCTTTCTGTGTGTGATGTCTTATGCCCATTGTGACTGGTGTGTGGGGTAGGAGCAAAGCAGCACGGAAGATTTTGAACAGCATGTGCGGTGAGTAGAGCTCCCCGGGTGGATGATGCTTTGAATAATTCTATCATTTCTATGGATGCGTACCATGTGTGTAGACTGTATACCTGATGTGTCCCACTGTACATCAGCTAGATGTACATGGTGCATGCAGTAGCAAGTGGCAATGTACATGTTGAAACAGTTGACAGCACAGTCCAGGTACATGCTTATGGCTCCTGCTGTGTTTGCACGTTTACAGTGCATGCGCTGACGCTATTCTCGAGTCAAGGACAGACGGCTTGGCATAGGTGTTTTAATCCTGATTTAGGCACTTGCCCTGTACTCCGACTACCAGTGTTCGATTCTCACAGTACAGTGTACTCGGCAAAGATTGGATTGGAGGGCAGGTGCACAACTCTATTTGTAACGTGAGGATTTTTAAATACGAGGCAACCGGCCGTGCACTGTTTTCTTATGTAATGTTTCCCCGTGGATCCTGTCCCACCACCAGTGACGATCGGCACGGTCTGCTATTTGCTCTCTCTCTCTCTCTCTCCCTCTCTCTCTCCCTCTCTCTCTCCCTCTCTCTCTCTCTCTCTCTCTCTCTCTCTCTCTCTCTCTCTCTCTCTCTCTCTCTCTTTGTGTTGCTCAGGTTTCTACTGACTGAGTTCACGCAGCCCAGTGTGTGGCATGTGCCCACCGAACAGCCACCACTACCCGCAACGCTGCTGGCACCGTCATCGCACAGCAGCAGCAGCAACACACATCACCAGAGCCTGGAGTCGCGGCTGCGCATCGTGCCGGCCACTGCGGCCGCCGCTGACACCATCCTGACCCGGGACATGCCAGCGACGGATCAACACCGCCCTGTGCACCCACTGAGTGCCGAGGCGTTGCGCAGCAATGTGCTGCTTGTTTGCCTTCTGCTTGACGGCGTGCGCGTGTTTGCGTCTATTCTTGGCGAGGGCTTCCGGCAATTTATACTGCAGTCTCTCTTCCATGTATTAGAGAAGGCCGGCTCAGACAACCTTATGATACGAGATGCCGCGTATGCTTGTCTGCAGGCGATGGCAACGTCGTGCAATTACGACTCGGTCAGTCAGCTGATCGGGTGCAATGCTGACTACCTACTGAACTTGTGCACTCAGCACCTGCGTGTTCTCAATCAGTATGCTGTTGCTACCAGGGTCATGCGTGAAACACTGGCTAACAGTGATGATACACTGCTGCTCCTCTTGAATGCCTTTCTCGATGAGGTCCTGTATGTGCTGGAGCTGAGCACGGGAACTGGGAAAGATCTTCTGCTCATTCCCGTGCTGAGAGCATCGGTGTGTGCCGTACGTCGTTGGAGTGGTGTAGATACGCTACCCGCCGCCGCTGACTCTGGTGCAGAGGTGCAAGCCAGTACTGAGAATCTTGCAGGCCAGCTTAATGACCTATTCACTTCTTCACAGAGCGAAGGGGACGAGTTGGAGCGCGACCGGGAGCCTGCCAGTATGGACGAGATCCGTGAGTTTTTCTTGGACTATCACCAACAAAAGGGAAAAGAGAAGGAAAAAGAAGAACTGGCTGACGATGAGCAAGAGGGGATGGATGACGGCGAGGACATTCAAGACGATAGCCAGCCGAACGATGCGAAAAAGTTGCCTGATGCGGATAACGTTGGCGTCCGGGTAGGTACTTGTTCTATTGAGGCTGTTAGTAATGCATGTTAGAGCTGGTTAGTTGTCCAATACTTGCACTGTAGTTTAGAGGATTTCCTTCTGTTCCCAATAATGGCTTTGACCATGCCTGTTACTGTTGTTGTATGCTGCTCACTTTGTCTAGGTACTGAACTATTGCGTGCACCTGTTGTCAGTGACACATGTGCACAGTAGCCTGGTGGTTTTGGACACTGTTCAACAAGGCGTGCGTCTGCTGCAACCCAACCAAGGTAAGTTATGTCGTCTGAAGACGGCTATATCTGAGTAAATCTTTGGTGTCCTCTGTATGAAGTGCTAACTGTGGTTAATACTGCTATATCTTGGATACTTGTAAGAGGGACAACATGTTAGGAGTTGTGACCAACACTCAGATAGTGCAATGGTCATAACTCGTACAATGCTGTCCTTCCACTTATACATGAGTACTATCGGCTCTCCGTCCGAGTTTGGCTATCTTTGTATAATCATATAAAAGTCTTGCGAGCCCTGGTAGTTCGATCCACAGTGCTTGCCCGTGCACTCTGCCTTGCCCGTGCAATCTGACCGGACTACTGGGGCGATTCCTGCGCATCGGGTCAAGGAGCTAGTGGTGCTCTGCGTGTGTAACCCAGCTCAGTGTATACACCTACCTAGCCAGTTCAGTTTGTGAGCAGCTTGCAGAACCGCGCTCGAGCAAGTGGTCAGATTTCACCAACCAGCACTGTGGGATTTTCTCATGAATCAGCGACGTTCATTTTTGTTCCTCCGGGTAACGTTACGTCTTGTGGAGCCAGTTTCACTTGACATGCCTGATGTTCATCTAGGAATTTGTTTTGTTTCCTTTGAGATTCATGCTTCCCACATGACATGGGTGGTGATGGCTATGATGTGTTTCATGGAACTTGGTTTCTTCTTGTCTATTTCTCTTGTTCCCGTCTTATGTGCCCTGCATGCTGTAGAGCAACTGTTGCCTCTTGTACATCAGCTGTGGTCACCGTTGCTGCATCGTGTGCGACATACACACTTACCAATTGCAAGCAAAGTAAGAGCAGAAGACTAGCTTGTTGCATCTCTGTGTGTATGAGAGGGGGGGGGGGGCATGTGCGTGTGTGTGTGTGTGTGTGTGTGTGTGTGTGTGTGTGCGCGCACGTGCTTGCTTGTGTATGTGTTCATGTATTCTGGTATTGCCCCCCCCCCCCCCCACCTTACACAAAGCTACTTGCACTCCATGTATGGTGGATATGGCGGGCAGTGTATTGTACTTACTTTTCTGTAGTCACCATTATCCCAAGCATAATTATACGAACGATTATGCTCTTTATAGACCTTGATTTTTAAACCCCGTATCGAAGCACTTTTGCCATAGCAAATCAAGCTGAAGGACCAACAGAGAGATGTACCCGTATCTGAGACGTCCGGATAGGAGATGTTTGAGTGTTTTTTGAATGTAGGAACATGTTCTAGAATGCGTGGACTAACCATGTTCCCTGAATCTGACTGCAGGCTGTGGATCTCATCGCAGTGCTGGCCATTGTGGCCGGCGACTTCATTCGGAAGCGCGTCACCAATGACATCATTCCGATTTTCACCGCGGTGCTTCAGCAGCCTGTTCCTGCCAAGTAAGCTGATATGATGTGCCCGTACTAGTAAAGCTGGGTCAGGATTGTAGTAGGGTTGAAGCCAGTATTGTCATTCTCTGTTTCAGTACTCCAAGCGATATGATTCTAAAGTACGATGATTTGCACAATTAGTTTGCCCACACAAGAGGCTTAACTACTTCAAAGTATCCAGGGGGAGAATGAGTGTTTCCTCTTGGTCAGCGATGGCACGATACCCAGTGGTTCCACTACCATGCCTTGGCATTGTCGTAGACCTGCGTCTCGCTGTGTTTTCCAGAACTGGCAAGACCTACACAGTGTGGCTGTCTTGCCTGTAGTGTCTATGTGTGTGTGTGCATGTGCAGGCATGCAAGACATGGCAAGTGCAGTGGACACTTGTCCAGGGATGAATTTACTTCACAAAATCTCAACTGTGTAGCAGTCTTTGATTTTTGATTTAATAGCGCTCTTCTTCGAAAGTTGGGTAGTTACCACATCGTCCTTGTTGAGAGCGATTCCTGAAAACCTATCTACAAAATAATGACTGAAGTTGCTTAGACCACGGAGGGACACCTTGCGTTCCTCTCACACACCAGTCAACTGCACTGTGTGCATGTTTCTTGACCGTGTAGGCTAGGCATGGATAGCCTGTATGTATCGCAGTATTCTGCGAGTCGCGGTGATTGTTGAGTAGCAGTAGATCGATTTTGCATAGCAAACTGCGATGTGATACCGGATAAATTCATCCCTGCTGCCACTATTTAAAAGTGTGCGTGAGCCCGTGGTGTAGCGTGCATGGACTGTAGTGTAACTCACTGGCCTGTTTTGCGTTTTCGCTGTATGTCCGTTTTTCTGACCGCTTCAAGTCTGTTTGTTTGTTCTTCTGCCTTTCCTCAATCCTGTTGTAGGTACACACAGCTGCACACACTCTTACTTGGTATCTTTGACTGTCTAGGCACCTTGTCTACCAAGGTAAGAGCTACTGAGAAACAGCAACTGCCAAAAGCCAGCCAACACTTGGCCTTTGAAGTCTAAGTTATTTTTTTACATGTATGAATGTAGCTTTTGTTTCAAGTTGGCATAACAGCACGTTTTTGAATGGTTTCATCATTGTTTGCTTTCCTATATGCTTGCCACCTCGATACATCAGCCTGCCGCCAAGTGTTATATGGTGGACAATAGCAGAATGTTCGAGAAGTATGCATTACACTGCTTGATTGTGCTAGACCTTTGACCACACCTGCCAGTCAGCCGGTTGTCGTTGCGCTTGGTTTAGAGCAGCTGCTGCACTACAATGTGCTTCTGGTTGTTAGCTCTCTATTGTATTGTTAGTCTGTTGCCATTTACCTCTCTCTCTCTCTCTCCTGTCTGTCTGTCTGTCTGTCTGTCTGTCTGTCTGTCTGTCTGTCTGTCTCTGTCTCCCCCCCCCCCCCTCTCTCTCTTCCTCTCTCTTCCAGCTGGACTTACCGGAGGAAGAGATAGTATCGCTGTCCAACATGTGTGTATCCTATCTAAGCTGCAAAATGCCAGTCTCAGTTCAGCAGGTGAGCAGTGAGCTACATGTATCTCGACTTGAGATTAAGAACAGAGCAAAGTTTACTGCCAATTGGAACTTGTGTCGCAGGCTCCTCTCTGTGGGTTGAGCACTTTTGCCAGACAGCGGTAACTCTACTTTGTGCTTTGTCCCAAGACTTGGATGGTATGATAGGCTGTGTTCAGAGTATCTTTCCTGGGCATGAGGATGGTCATACCCGTAATCCTGCACGGCAGTAGCAGATTTGTGCGAAAAAGGCATTGATGCGCTTCTCACGGTTAGCGCATACCTGGTACTCGTATTCCTGAGAAACGTTTTGGCGCTAATCTGGCTACCGGACCTACGACTGACTGTGTCCTTGTATTACTGGTCTGGTCTTGAATGCTTTGTTTGTGCATTTGAGCGTGCACACACGAGTCTTTGTGTAGGTATAGTACTGCTTGTTGGGTGCCATGGCTTCTTTGAAGGTCAATGATGGGTGGCTTTGCTTCCTGCCTGTGTGTTGTAGGCTGCTGTCCGTCTGTACAAGCAATGGGCGCGCTCGCACGGAGACTGCATATGGCTGCTTCTTATCCACTTGTCAAGCAGTGTTTCCTTTCCAACTCCTCCCTCCGAGCTGCTACCACCACTCGAGGTCAGTGAGCGATGCGTTGGACTGCTCCCCCCCCCCCCCCCCTTCGTATTATTTTCCTTCAATTTGATTGGCTCTCCTTTAGGATTCACCTGTTTGCAGCCGTTTTGAAAACTGATGCCCTATATGCAATATTAGGGAGTTTCTTGAGTACAAGAACGATGGGCAATGCCAGGACCCGCCACGGCTGTTTCGCGTGATCCGAAATGAGAGAACAATACCACATACGTAAATCTATTGGGTACCAAGGGTACGCTCATCTGAAGACTGAAGGTGTGGATCGCTGAAACAGTGTAGCTTTGTCAGTATTGACACACAGCTAATTCTCCCCAGATGTTCTGCTCCTTATTATCCACCGAGCACACCCTCTTGTGATGCTTCTACTTATTTGGTCTACAGTCAACTTCGCTTATAACGACACTCGGCGGGGCATCAAAAAAGTGTCCTTATTCGCGAAGTGTCGTTATACCCGAAGTCTCATTATATGTATTACAGTTGGAAGGGACTCTGCTCTGAGCATGGAAATGCTGTCGTTATTCGCGAATTGTCGTTATATCCGCAGTCGTTATTCGCGAAGTTGACTGTACTTCCCTTTCTGGCACTTTCGGTCCATCCACATACGCTACAATCATCATCGGTGTAAGGCGAACAGGCTGTTATATCTGGCAGTGTCTTGCTACAGCCACCACTGCCGCCGCAGCCACCACCACATGTTTCACTCTCTAGCTCTGCTCCCTTCTGGACAATAGGAAGCATGCCCCGCATAAGTGTATGTGGTGTACACCGCTTTCATCTTGTTATAATTACACCTTCAGACCTAGAACGTTATCATTGAAGATAAAAATGCAGCCTTCACTAAGTAAATAGGAGGGCGCCGAGACTTTCGACCTCTCCTATGACTGGGAAGTTTATACCCACCCGAGCACCATAATAATTATACCACCACTGCCCCATATGCTCAAAATTTCGAATTTTTGAAATCAAAGTCCACTGTTCAGCCAGAGAGACGTGCGCAAAACACCATGCACACACAAAACGTCCCTACCAATCACGATGGGATGGACATATTTTGTAGATGAAAGATTCCGCCAAACAAGTATACCGCTCCCTTGCTGCCACCAACAGCTCCCTTGTCAACTAACCAGGGCAGTTTTTTGGCCTACGCACCGCAAAAGACGCGCTCTAAAACCAGTTTTGAACTGGCATGAACAGTTTGAAAGTAGCAAGCTCGGAGAAAGACGCTGTCTGTTTCTTGTACAAGTCGAGCCCAGGGCTCAACTGTACCCCACAAGTTTAGAACATCCACGAGTTCTGAAGTTGAGTATTGGAAGATTCTCTTTTCACACAACTAATAATTGCACACTCTGCCAGCAAGGAACAAAGGAAAAAAGCCCCGACTAAAAAGGGCTACAGGCTAATATATGCACAAGGGTAGATCCACACCGTACAGTAAGAATGCACCGGAAGCGAAAGAAACAAATACCACGCGCGCAGCGTCAGGATTCTGTGCACAGCTACAGGCAGATCACGCAGTCCGCGGTGTGGACTGAAACTACACAAAGAAAAGTAAGTCTACAATGCACTATAACCTAAGCATCGGGCCATAGATCCATAGTGGCACCGCAATGAAACACGAGAAGGATCATGCATTCACGCAATACAGTTATGATGATCACAATTGCAACCAGCAGCATGGATACAACGGGAATCACTACTAACGGCCATGAGTGATAACATAATCACACAGTAGAAAGAGGTGTCAGGTGGTTGAACAGCAGTAGTTTTGCCAACATCCTCCCCCCCCCCCCCCCCCCCCCCCCCGGTGACGATCCATTGGTCACCCTATCGTCGGACATCCAGGACGCAGATCTTACTGACAGGTCGTCGGAGGGTGCCGGTCTGCGTCTGCACATCTGCTACTCGCACTCGTCCGTCTGGGCCGGGATAGACAGCAGTAACACGTCCCTTCGGCCAAGTGCCTCTCGGCAGGCTTCCATCGGCGATCACAACAATGTCGTCAGGCTTCACAGGTCTTGGATCGGCACCATGCCATTTCGTCCTCCTTTGGAGGCAGGGCAGGTATTCTTTTAGCCAGCGTCGCCAAAAGTGGGCTGCGAGGGTCTGTGCTATGCGCCACTGCTTCCTGAGGCAGAGGTCATCTTCCGTGAAGAGTCCTGGTGGGTGCGTCTGAGCTGGTGTCCCAAGCAGAAAATGGTTCGGGGTCAGGCTGTCCTCGTCCTTTGGGTCGCATGATACGTGAGTTAACGGGCGGCTGTTCAGGGTTGCTTCGACTTCAGCGAACAGAGTCGTTAAGACTTCCTCTTTAGGAGACCTCTCGTGTAACACTGCACTCAGGGCGGTTTTCACAGAGCGAACGAGTCGCTCCCAGGCTCCACCCATGTGCGGACTTGCTGGCGGGTTGAAACGCCACTCCACTCCCTTCGGCGTCAGGAATCCCGTAATCTTCTCCCGGTCAAGGTCTTGCAAGGCCTCACGCATCTCTCTCTCGGCGCCATGGAAATTGGTGCCATTGTCAGAGTACAGGACTCCCGGGTAGCCTCGTCGACTGGCCATTCTTCGGATCGCCATGATAGCGCTGTCGGTCGTTAGGTTATGAGCGATCTCAAGATGAACTGCTCGCGTGGTGAGACATGTAAAGATAGCACCATACCGCTTCTCACGTCTCCTGCCAACTGTCACTTGCAGAGGCCCGAAGTAATCCAAACCACAGTGCGTAAACGGGCGGACGAAAGCAGCTGTTCTCCCCTCGGGCAAGTTGCCCATCTGCGGAGGTATCGGCTTGGAGCGATCATTCTTACAGCGTTGGCAAACGGACCATGTGCGCCGCACCGCAGTACGTAGTCCCGGTATCCAGTAACGTCGGCGGATCTCGTTGGCTACCTGAGCCTGTCCTTGGTGACCACAGATATCGTGGAGGTGTTGGAGCATGAGTCGAGTGTACGCGTGATCTGGTGGCAGGATAACCGGATCCAGATCAATGGCGCTCCCACTCGGTGCGGTCCTGACCCGTCCACTCATGCGGATCACACCAACTCCATCGATGGTTGGGGACAGAGTGTACAAACGACTCGCTTTCGTCACAGACCCATTTTTCTTCAGTTCTGCAACGTCACCTGCAAAGCTGTCTCTTTGAGTCCTGAGCCACCACAGCTCTTGAGCCCTTTGGAACTCTGTCGGAAGGAGCTTCCCAACAGTGGCTGGCTTTCCGGCTGCCTTGGCCCGCAGGTTCTTGACGTATCGAGCCATCCATGCCGTGACTCTCACCAGCTTCATCCACGATGAATAACTGTTGGCGTCTGGTAAGACCAACGGCTCTGGCACGGTGTGCATTCCGGCGAACTCTGCCTTCATCTCCTGGCGATCAGCATCGACGTCAGTAGCCTTCGCATGTGTGGTCTCCTCTGGCCAATCAGCCTCTGGAGCTTGCAAGAACTTCGGACCCTGAAGCCAATGAAGTTGTCTGCCTTGGACATCTGGCAGTACTCTCGTTGCGGCATCAGCTGGATTGAGGGTTGTTGGCACCCACCTCCACTGTGACACTGCAGATAGTTCATCGATCTCACCGACTCTGTGGGCGACGAACGGCTTGAACTTCCTGGCATCTGCCTGAATCCACCGAAGGACTGTTATTGAATCTGTCCATAGCGTTGTGCTGTCGATGAGTAGGTCGTGCCCTTCCAGAACCGTCCGTGCTATTCTTGCAGCCATGAGTGCCGCCTGTAGCTCGAGCCTTGGGATGGAAATCGGCCGTAACGGGGCGACACGACTCTTGCCCAGGACGAAAGAGACTTGAGAGGTCCTGTCTTCAAGAGTTGTTCGAAAGTATGCGACGGCTGCAAAGCCGTCCTCGCTGGCGTCGCCAAAGACATGAAGCTGACATGACTTCCTCGTTGACATTCTCAGGCAGTAGCAGCGGGGTACAACGATGTGACTTAGCTCGCGGAGACCTCCCCACCACTGACGCCACTTTTCCAGCAGACTGTCCGGTAGGGGTTGGTCCCACCCAACTCCAGTGCGCCAAACATCTTGCAGAAGGACTCGTGCTGCTAGGGTATGACAGGATAGAAACCCCATCGGGTCGAACACTGACATGATCATGCGGAGTGCCTGTCGCTTTGTTGGCCGGGGTGACTTAGCTTCTTGGTCAACGAGGCGTTGACTGAGGCGGAAGTTAAATTGATCAGTCTCTGGGTCCCACTTCAGACCAAGCGCTCGCTCCATGGGCAGCTCCGTGCCGCTGTTGAATGTCGGTGCGTCAACTGCTCGGCGCTCTGCTGGAATGTGCTGCAGCAGCTCTCTGGAGTTGCTGACCCAGTGGCGAATGAGGAACCCACCAGCATCGTGGATGGCCGACACCTGGTCCACTCGGTTTCTGGCTTGTTCTTCATCATCGGTGGAGTCATAGTAGTCATCGACATAGTGATTCTCACAGATGGCCCGTACGGCGTCAGGCCACCGATCGGTGAACTCCGAGGCGTTCTTTCGCATCACATACTGAGCGGCTGCCGGCGAGCATGTGACACCAAATGTCATTGCTGTCATTTGCATGACATCTGGGTCTCGGTCACGATCACGCCCTCGCCACAGGAATCTCTGTGCTGGCAGATCCTCTTTCCTGATGAGTACCTGATGAAACATCTGTTGGATGTCTCCGCCGAAACCAATTCGGTGTTGCCGGAACTTGAAGAGGACACTCGGAAGAGGATTGAGGAGATCTGGTCCACTGACTAGAGCATCATTAAGGCTCATGCCGTTGCTTTTCGCTGCTGCATCGAATACCAGGCGAATTTTCCCTGGCTTGTTGGGGTTAACTACTCCAAAGTGTGGCAAGTACCACCTGCGGCCAACGTTGTCTTGGTCCAGCTCTTCCTCTGTCAGCTTTCTCGCATAGCCTGTAGCGACATACTCTGCAATCTTAGAGCAGTACTGATCTGCATAGGCTGGGTTTCGGGCCATCTTCCTTTCCAGAGACATCAGCCTCGATTTGGCCATTTCGTAGCTCTCGGGGAGGACGATGTCACTCGAGCGCCATAGCAGACCTGTCTCCCAACGGGTGCCAACTCGCTTGGTGGTGGACTCCAGCAGCCTCTCGGCACGGACTTCTTCCCTCGAGCTGGTCTTGTTGGAGGTGACCTTCACACCAAACGACTCCGTGCTGAATGACTCCTTGACGAGCTGATGGAGGTCATCGTCAGCGGTTCTTGCAAGGTGGCAATGTTCGATCTGTGGGACTCCTGCCCTGTCATTGCCATGTACTGACCAGCCTAGCTTGCATTTCGTCATCATTGGCGCGCTCGGTGGTCCTTCGATTACCTCGCGGGGGAGGATAAGGTGGCAGTTGTCTTGGCCTATCAAGAGTCTTGGCTTCGTGTTGGCTCCAACGATCTTGGGGCTGTCGGCTAGGTGAGGCCAGCGGCTACTCAGTTTTGGTACGTCGATCTGTTGCTCAGGTAAGTCCATCTTGCTTACTGTCCTCACGTTGTCCAGTGAAAACGTTCCACCGTCTCCTTCAACTTCGACACGGACACTCTGCGACCGTTTGTCTGTCTGATTGCTGTCATCAGTCCAGGTGAGAAACAGCGGGCGACGGGGTCCTTCGGCTCCAATCTCCTTGGCAATGGCAGCATCCATAAGGGTCACCGTGGAGGCCTCGTCAAGGAGAGCTGACGTACGGACTTCACCAGATGGGCCTCGGATCGTCACTGGGACTGTGCGTAGGATGACTCGGTCGCGCCGGTTGCATTTGCCGACAAGATACGTATGTCCTTCCACAGCTTGAGAGCTTGTGTGGGGCTGATCTGGATTCTTGCCACTAGTGCGTGTGTCGTCCGGTCGTTTAGCTGGGTGTAGCAGATGGTGGTGCAAGCGGTCGCACCCTTGCAACCCACATGGCTTCTTGCTCGGGCAGTTACCGGATCGATGCCCATGAGCTAGGCAGGTGAAGCAACGACTCTCGGCCCTTATCCATTTCCAGCGATCGTTGACGCTCTTCTTGGCAAACGTTCGACAGTCCCGAGTGGCGTGGCCGGACCGTTTGCAGAAGGCACATTGCTTCTCGGTGGCGGCGAACGTGCTGCCACGATGGAATGTGGGGCGCTTCGCACTATCCGCCGGGAACATAGCTGGTCGCTTCACGCGGGACACAGCATCCGCTCTCTCCTCCAGCCACTCTGCTAACGTTTCGAGGGTCACTTCCTGGTCCCGAGTGCGTATGTGCTCCCCCCATAAACGTCGTAGGCTGCTGGGGAGTTTGGAGACGATCTCTTGTCGCAGCGCTGGGTTTGTTATGTGTCCCGTGCTCTCCATCAGCTGCATCGTTGCCACGAGGTTCCCTACCACATTGGCAAGGTCGATCAGTGCTTTAAAGTCCTCTTCTTTCACCGCTCTCTGCTTCTGAGCGTTGTCAATGATGGTTTGTATGACCTGTTCTGGCTGTCCGAAGCGGGTTTCAAGAGTCCGAATGACTCTATCCACATTGTCTGGAATAACGAGCATGGCCATGACTGCCTCTTTGGCTTTACCACTCAACGCCTTCTGGAGGCGTGCCATGTTCTCATGGTTGCTGAAGCCGCACTCCTGTGTTGAGACACGGTACATATGGTGGAACATTGGCCATGTAGCAGGGTTTCCAGAGAAATTTGGTAGGTCTCTCCCAGCTGATTGTCTCGCCACCATTCTCTGGAGATCACTCGGGTGGGATTCCGCTGGTTGCGTCTGCGCATTTGCCACAGGTAGGCGTTCGGCCAGAACCTCGGCCAGCTGCGCCATGGCTGTCGTCATCGTCTTTCCAACTGAGTCTGACACAGTGGATGCCGAATCCACTCCAGCTGTGGCTGTACTGGGCGCTTTGGCACATTGGTCGGTTGGAGGGGCGGCCTCGTGTGTGCCCTGGCGGTATGCGCCGAGCTGACTCTTCAGCTCTTCCAGCTCAGATTCCCGGGCACTCAACTCACGTTCCAGCTCTCTTCTCTCATTCCCGCGGGCTTCAGCCTCTTGTGCCAGCTCCTCCCTGACGCCGTCAAGTTGTTTCGCTTGGCTGGCGACCTGAGCCTGAACGTCTGCTAGTGCTCGGCGCTGCAACTCGAGCTGTCTGTCGCGGGCAGTGAGTTCCTGTCTTAGGACCGCAGACTCTTTCTTTTCAGCGCTCAGTCTGCAAGTAAGATCGGACCTTTGGTCTTCTGCGGCCTGCAGTGTATCACAAAGCTCGTGATGTGCAGAGGCTTCGAGGGCCAGCCTGTCACAGTACGCACGCTCTTTACATTCCATTTCCATGGTCATAGCCTGCAGTTTCCTCTCAGTCTCGGCTAGGGCAAACTTAGCGGCTGACAGTGTCTGCTCACAGTATTCATGTGTACTGATGGTGTCTGGCCTGGGCTGTACTGGTGGTACGCCAGTGGCAGTGGCTGGACTCTTACATACATTTGGTACAGTGAAAGGATTCCAGTCAGAGAGCAGGTCAACAGCTGGCACAAGTGCTTGCCTTGGCATTTGACTTCCACCCGGCAGGTGTGAATGGTGTGCATTCATGCTTGATGAATCGCCAACACCCTCTTGGTCTACAGTCACTACCTCAAGCCCTGGGGCTATTTGAGTGTGTGCGCTATGACTATCACAAGCATCTGGTACCTGTACTGTCTGGCTGGGTGTATGACTGTTACTCGCAGCCCGAGACCGAACTACAGTGGCTTTATCATGTTGTGGAGCGGGTGTGGTGGCTCCGACTCCAAGATGTTGTGGGCTTACTTGAGCACTAGAAATATCTATGAGATCAGAGACTTCACGCTCACCGGTATCGCGACGCAAATCCCACTGTCGTTCCTCATACTCTTCCACAGGAGGGGTACCAGCCGTATCACTATCGCTATCACCGGGAAGCTCCTCCGCATCTTCACCCAGTGCAGCTCTCCGTGCCGACAAGCGCATCTCCGAGAGCTTTCTCTGCGTGGCGAGTTCTTTCTCGCGGGCTACTCTTTCCAACTCCGCGATATTCTCTGCTTCCGCTACCTCGGCGGCAAGCAGCTTCGCTCTCTTGATGGCACTACTAGCACTAGTCCTGCTACTCTTGGTAGCATTTGTCTTCCTGGAAGACGTTGTTGACGCTGCTGTCAGCGTTGGTGACGGACTGTTCCGTCGTTTCTCCTGTTCGGAGATCATTCCTTCCGGAGAAAATCGATTGGGTTCACAACCCTTGTTCGTTCTGGTTGAGCGACGTAGCTCTTTGCCACTCTCCATGGCTTATCTCGCCTCAGAGGCGTCACAATAGCCGGCTCGAGATCCGGCTCGAAGGACCAATGTTTCTTGTACAAGTCGAGCCCAGGGCTCAACTGTACCCCACAAGTTTAGAACATCCACGAGTTCTGAAGTTGAGTATTGGAAGATTCTCTTTTCACACAACTAATAATTGCACACTCTGCCAGCAAGGAACAAAGGAAAAAAGCCCCGACTAAAAAGGGCTACAGGCTAATATATGCACAAGGGTAGATCCACACCGTACAGTAAGAATGCACCGGAAGCGAAAGAAACAAATACCATGCGCGCAGCGTCAGGATTCTGTGCACAGCTACAGGCAGATCGCGCAGTCCGCGGTGTGGACTGAAACTACACAAAGAAAAGTAAGTCTACAATGCACTATAACCTAAGCATCGGGCCATAGATCCATAGTGGCACCGCAATGAAACACGAGAAGGATCATGCATTCACGCAATACAGTTATGATGATCACAAGTGCAACCAGCAGCATGGATACAACGGGAATCACTACTAACGGCCATGAGTGATAACATAATCACACAGTAGAAAGAGGTGTCAGGTGGTTGAACAGCAGTAGTTTTGCCAACACTGTCTTTTTTCACAGGCGATTGTTGTATAGTTACTATACGTTCGCGTGACGCTGTTTTTGCTGTTTTCAGTGACTCAGGCTAGCCTTAGTGAGGCTGAAAAGCCGTGTTGGGCACATCAAGCTGAGTTATCATAAATGATTAACCGTTAAAAAAAAGAAAAGAGGACCATAAGTTAACAAAAAGTTATCCGTTTTGTCCAACACTAACGATTATAAGCAGGACACTGTAACAGTGTTAACATGTTGAGTCAAAATGTGTGTTGGACAAAACGGATAAATGTAACTTATGGTCCTCTTTAAAAAAAAATGTTAATCCTTGTGTCTCTATCCGAGTTTAAATCATTAATCAGGTTCGCATTAGCTGTACAAACCGTACATGTATGCATTCAGCCTTTGTTTATTGTTGTTTGTGTGCCTGTGTTTTTTTTTGTGCCGTATGTCCGTAGCCCCTTACCAAAATTCCCAGCAGTATTACCCGTGACCTGGACGTGAACGTGACCGAGCTACTCAAGTGCCTTTAGTTCATGATTTGCCGAAAGCGCAACACACCACCTAACAATGCAGCGCCATTGCTTGCATCGGTGCATTCAGCCCGACGTGCTGCGATCCCACGAGCATCAGCAGCAATGGCAGAGACATTCGCTTCCACCACGTCAAGATGTGCTACAAGATCCATTGTCTGACATGGCACATGTGTCATGGCGGTCAGTATCTCTGTGGATCACAATGAGTAAAGTGTCAAGCCGCTCAACCTACCTCCTTTACGTATGGTTCTCATTGGACAGTAACCTGCTGCTGCAGCACGCTACAACCGGCAGGGCTGATGTTGCCCTGCGGCTGCATGCCAACTACTGCTGGCGCCCAGAACATCGAAGAGTTGATGCCGTACCACTGCAAAGGTGGGCATTGGCACAATATTCAAGTTACGAACCCTGTACTGTACTGAAGGTATGCAGCTCTGTTCATCTCGAGTCCCTGCTTGTGCGTCTGCATCTGTCTGCAAACTTACCTACTAGCACCGCTCAATAGACTGTATTGAGTTGCCGTCTAGACCAGGTTGACCAACGTCATGCAAGGCCGACGGTATGACCTAATCACATGGTTGCAAGGAAGACGGCCGTGGTGTGTCAGTTCTGCTCCATGCATACTTCCAACATACGCGCCATACTGTTACATGGGGGATGAATGTCAGCTCTATCAGTAGCTGTGAGTGTGTAACATCATGTGTCCGATATCCTACAACATGTTAACCAGATGCCGCTTTGTACTCAGCACGACTAGTTGACGGTGGATCTATTGTGCGCCCGGCTTGGTGCTACATGCCAAGACGCCGTGCCAAGACCTGGTGACTCTGAGAGCTGTGCTTGGCATCTTGCAACTGTGCACTTGTATCAATATGACCAAGCTCTCCCTTTCCGAAACCCCCTTTCAGCCTCATCCCAACCACTACATGCAAGAGACATAGTATTATATCTTTGGTATAATGCAAAAGAATAGAAGCGTGTATCAGCAAGGTCATGGAATTTCTATCCTTTTCCGGAGATGCATCAAGTAATCAACTTCTAGTTTGCACTGATATGAACTTGAGCGGTGTTTGTTTTCCGCCCCCTATCGTGTGATGTGCTGCTGCTGCTTTGAGCAACTCATTGCTCTTGATCATAGGAATGCAAGCAAAATTAATGCTCTGACTGAAAGATGTGACAGAGAACTCATGCTGGTGCTGGTGCTGGTGCTGGTGCTGGGTGTGTACGCACACGACAAAGCAGTCCAAGGCTTGTTTTAGTGACTACAAGTACTTGTTTTTGATTCTCTTTTTATTCCCGAGCTACTGATAGGTTCTGACAAGTTGGTGCTTTCAAGCAGTCCTGACTGTGTTCTCTTGGTATTATTGCTTTTAAAAACTTTCGTTTCTATAATTCTTTAGCCTTCCCACGCCGTGACCAGCGAGGCGGTATCACACACCCCTATGCAATTCACCTGCTTTTGTTTTGCTGGCCAAAACACTTTGTGCTGAGTACTGGATTAGTAAAAAGTCACATGACACGTTGTATGACATAATTGTATTGCTCTTGTGAATGTGCAGCATGACTATGCTACTATGCACTGGTGTGCTCGCTTGCACCTCCACAAGTTGTTTTTTTGTCATTTCTGCTAGAATCACGACAACAACGGCGTGCTACTGCTGCTGTTGAGAACAGTGACAAGGAATGGCGCAGAATAGCAGCACACTCGAAGTGATGCACCGGGAACGGTTACTTGTATAAACTCTTTTATTTTCATGATTGTAGTATATGTCCCGGTGGTGACAGTGCATTTTTTCTTCAGACTTTCCCCGTTTGCATCTGGCCTCAAACCAGTGAAGAGTACATTATTATAGCACGAGAGACCCACAAGTTACATTGTAAGTTCAGGTGCTCCTTTCTTCAATATTTGGAGGCTCCGATTGACCTTCAATTTCATCATCGTTTTGGAAGACCTACCGGTCGTCGCAAAAGTCCATAAACAGTTTACTGTATTAAAAGTAGGGCTGAAACGATCGTGGATTTTCACCTATCGATTACTCTTGAGCTTAACGATCGATTTATCGATTATAATCGTTAGCAGATAGTGTCAGAATTTTGTGCAAACATTGCTCTGTTTCCGAAATCTAAGCCATCATAATACCACAAATTTGCATTAGTGACATGGTATCTCAGAAACATGGTAGTTATAAAGTCAATTTAACCTCAGAATGTGCACCATGCCCCTGGCAACTGCATACTCACAGTGGAAACTGATTCAAACTTCACAAAAACAAGGGTTTTCAGTACTTTTTGGACTCAAAATTCCTAACGAGTAATCTATAACGTAACGATTACTTGATTGATAAGGAATTATCGATCGATTACTGAGTAATTGGTATAATCGTTTCAGCCCTAATTAAAAGCCATTTTCTAACGAGGCGCATAACGATTTCCCAAAATTGACTAGTTTACGTGTACCTAAGCCTGCAAAGGTAACGATTCTCACTCACTCTCAACGCTCAATAGGACAGTATATGTATCGATTTCTGTATAACGATTTCTATTTTAACGACAGATTTCTCCTCGTTAACTTGTTAGAGTTAGCACTTCGTTATTATGATATGGCTTTTACACTGTACATGGTTAATACACTCTTGGTCGTAGATGCAAGACCACGGTACGAGTACCGATATAATTATCGTTGTCGATCGAAATGTCATCCATTTGAATTTTGCCCTGCTATAAACATGGCTTGGTCGCGATCGATTCGACCAGTTCCGTGGATCGAAGAGTCCAAGTTAGTTTGGACTCCTCGCACGATGGTATCGCGATGGGTCATATGTATAATTGTATGTGGGGGTTATTCGCCCCCGCTTGCGGGCCGGGTTGCGGCTACTGTTCCAAGTCTCAGCAAGAGCACATAACGGGTGGTTATGTACGAGTACTCTTTGTGTGTGCGTTTGGTTGGTACGATCTAGAACAGGGTCGAACAGCTGGTGCACATGGCCTACATATGCGTGACCGCAAAGTGACCTGCCCAAATACGGCATGCGGACTTTGCGGAGCCGAGCTATGGCGCTAGTCGGAGCTTCGGATCGGGGCAAGTTCGGACTCGATCGAGCATCGAAAACCCGCAGCAGAGTCTTCTCAGCAGACCTGCGATTACCGTACAGCAATTGCAATGGCAAAGCTTTTTAAAGTTGCGCACTATCGTCGTATCGATCGACCTTGATTCACATTCAAATCTTGCTGATCTTGCATTTCAAAAAAGAGAATTGATTCTAACAATTGTTAGCAGAAAGAGGCATTATCTGCTGAGATTATTCGTTTCGTGACTTGCACAATTGCAGAAGTAGCATCTAGTATTCAATACGTCTTTGCAAATGAGCTGCGACGGTGTCCTCGTTTCGAATACTGTACCACGTAGCCAGTCGTTTCAATTGCTTTCGTCACATGGCAGAAGAGAGTCAGCAAGTGAAAGATGGGAAAGAGTTGAAGCCTTGACCCAGCTTCCGGATTTGGCTGGCCTACAGTTCACCCATTCGTCGTGCTGCAGTGGCAGCAAGTAAACCGTAAACGTCATAGAAAGCCGAATGGTGTCTGTCCGGAATCAGCCTCTCATAGTCTTTAGGTCTCCAGGCTTGCAGGGCCAAAAGAAGGTGAGACTTTGTGGCAAAGCAACACACCACACGTGTACATTGTTATTGTTCCTGGAGCTCACTCAAGCACTATCCCATTGGTACTGACCCTGGAGGTTTGTTGGACAAGGTGCATGCTGACATATTTTCATCCCATTTTTTTACCAAAATGCGCATGGTTGCCATGCATACGTACGTAAGACCCACATGTGTATCTAATATTGACTGAGTACGAGGTCAATAGGAAATAAAAGCCGAGTAAAAGACCGAGGCGAAGCCGAGGTCTTTTACGAGGTTTTTATTTCCTATACTGACCAAGTACGAAGTCAATATTAGATTTATCACGACAAACAGTCCGTATTTCAAATTCCAGAACGATAACCTCATGAATCCCGGTTTTATGATTGCACAACCGTTGCACCACCACCTACTCATGCAGTGACAATGCTGCACTAGGCACCGTTCAACTGCGCAACCTCTAAGCAGTCAAATATTAGCAGTCAATATAGCCCTAAGGAGTAAAATATGCAGGAATATTTGACTGCTTAGGTGTAGCGAAAATCAATGGGAGTCAATACTAAGAGAGTGATAAGTAATACTGTCCCCCGATACTCGCTCTGACTGTACAATCATGTACACTCTTTGAAGGGGGGGGGGGGGTGCTTATATCAGAGAGTGTGCATCTACTGGAGACGACAGCGCATACTAGAGATATGTGTGCGGTAGTGTCTTTACTAGAAGCAGATGCCGCACCCACACCACTATGTGCTCTGGGGCCGGGACGCTTCACTACAAGTAGATATCATGGAGTACTGGGGGGGGGGGGGTACTATTTTAGTATTAGAGTTTCAGGAAGAACAACTTCCGACACATCAAGAACAAGAACAAGCCATACGGATTGTAGACTATAAGATTAATTATGAAGAATGCATGCATGATACCTGACCGGTTTCTGCACTTGTAGTGCTTCACTGTTCCCACAGAATAACGCAGACAATCCTAAATTATGTGCATGATTATGCGGGCGAAAACAGGCCATTATACGGCAAATGTGCGGTATAATGCGGTCATTATGCACGAGTCACCTGTCATTGGTGCAACTTTAACATACAGTTTCATGCAAGTATACAACTTTGTCGTAAAAACTCATGGGCGGGTACGACTTTGTAGTACATTTTCAACATCATGTACAATTTTTTTGTACATTCCCATCAGGGAGTCGTCAAATACCGTATTTGACGACTCCCTGATTCCCATGGATAACGCGGGTTTTATGCAAAATGTCTCGAAAACGCGGATGATAGCCAATAACGCGGAAAATTGCGCGTCCACGGAATCGCGGTATCCTGGGACAGGCTTCATATCAGAGGAGGAAAAAATGTGTCTCTAACTTCAGTTGTTTCCTTTTTTTCTTATTCTTTTTCTTTCTACAACTGAGCACAGGCAACCTGCATGCCTTGGGCTTCTTAGTGCTGATGCATGCAAGTTCTCTAGTTGAAGAGCTGGGATGCAAAACACGATAAGTGCCAAATGTGAGAAATTCCGTTTTTCAGCTCAGTGTGACCAACTAGCAATAACCAACCCTCGGCTGGACCTCGTTGGCTATGGTACTACTACTGCAAAAGGCCTAGCTAGTTGCACCAACAGGCAAATTTACCATTCAAAATCTAACAAGAACCGTTTCAAAACTGGAGCCCAACTATGAATTCAGATACTAACCGCACATAAATCATTTTATGAAATGAATCATTTTTTAGGCCATTATCCGAAAAGTGATGAAATGAAAAAAAAATACAACTTCTAACTGTAGTTCATGCACCTTTCCTGTATACACGGTTTGTACAACTTTGCTCTATGGTTCATGAACTCTTATCACGCCTGCACAGGATCTTTTCGTTTTCAGCAGCAATTTTTGTTTAAAGTCTCAGACACCTCTATGGTTCAGCCTGCATTGCACCTGTTGATTCGATTCCACTGCAACTGCTATGTATATAGAAGCTGTAGTTAGAGACACATTTTTCATTTTTCATTTTTCATCCTCAGATGAAGCACTACGCAAGTGCAGAAACCAGTCAGGTGTCATGCAGTTTTCATAATTCATCTTATCGTCCAGAATCCGTGGTTTCCCGGGTGTTAGCGGCCGTCGTGAGTTCCTTTTGGGAACGGACACGATAATTTCCTTTTTTTCTACAATCTGTGAGACTTGTTCTTGTGAGTGGTGTGTCGGAAGTCCCTGAAACTCCCGCATTCCAGCTCTTCAGTTGTACTTCCAGGTAAAGACTGTGAAATGAGTGTCTCACTCCCAGATCAGAGCGCATGTTGGGAGTATGGGTCAGGCCACTATCATTATTCAATTATTAGGATTTATTACGTAATGAAGTAGGGTGTTCCTTCCGCTGCCCGAGGAGTGCTCAATACCCGGGTGACTACATATGGCGGAGCTTTCCACATGGTCGGTAGAGAGAAAGAAAGAAGCAATGTTTGCAACTCCGAGTTTCACGTTATGCACGATCATCGGGCAGCCGGTGGTCTAAAACAGGTACTGTAGCCCGAACACAAGGGAAAGTGAGGCCAGGAGGAAAAACAATAGCGCAAGCTTCGGGCGCAGGTGAAAAGTCGATAAGACTGGAATGGGAGCCACGCTGCAGTAGCATAAAGGTGATATAAATGCATGAGAAGAAATTCAGTGCTGGCAGACTTCGGTGTTAAAAAGCACAATCAGAACAAACAACATACTAGCAAGAGACCGATGGCAAATCTAGTAACTACAAAGCTATATTCGCGTGACCTTGCGGGCAACGATTGCCTGGGCCGTTAAACATGCTCCCTCAACAAGTGATTGGAGATCGTGTCTAAGTGTCGTCATGAGAACAAGTGCTACCTTTGTTACCTTGTTCGCAAGGTCGCATGGATATAGCGTTGTAGTTACTAGATATGCAACCTGTCTCTTGTTGGTATGCTTGTTTGTTCTTGCAAGCTGTACTTTTCAGCACCGACGTCTGCCAGCACTGGCTTTCTTCTCATGCATTTATATTACCTTTATGCTACTGCTGCGTGGCTCCCATTCCACAGTCTTATCGACTCTCCACCTTCACGTGAAGCTTGCGCTGCTGTTTTCCCCTCTTCACTTCACCTCCCCTTATGTTCAGGCTGCCTGCTTTGGACCATCAGCTGCCTGATGGTCGTGAATAATGTGAAACCCGGAGTTGCAACATAGCTTCTTCCTTTCCCCCACTGGCTGTGATTCAACTATTATCTAGTGAACAGGGTTTCCTCGTTTCAGTTGCATTCCTGCCACGAGAACCGATGTAGAGGATGCTATTTCTGGGGGATATCAAGCTAATGCAGTAATTAGTGCAAGGGTACTGTGCACAACTGGTTTAAATTGCACCCTGGAGTGACACTTCCAGCGCGACCAGTGTTGCTTCTGCTGTTGATGATGATGATGACGATTGTTGTATTTGTCTTGTGTGTGCTTTCGCCGTTATGGACTTGTAGCAGAAATGACTTCGCTCTGGCAGCAAATACGCCTTGTCCTCTGGAAAAACTTTCTCATCAGACGAAAGCAGCCGGTGAGTACGCGTACTGACTTTACCTGATCCTACACTGACACATCCCCGTGATTTGGCATTGCACACTAGTGTGCACTAACATTCAACATTCAATACTGATGGCACACCTGGGCTTCACACGCTGCCACCTTGATTACAAAGCTAGGGGCTGCAATGTTTTTAAAATATTTAAATACCTAGACTTCTTTTATAGCAAAGTAGGTAAAGAGCTTGCTGAAAATTACTTTAAAAACAATCACGGTTCGTGTGACAGGGGCGTCGGAGCCGGTGCGCGCGGCATTTGGCCGCATCAATAAATTTCGAATTTTTTATATTTTTATTTTTAAACATTTCAACCTTGTTGGTAGCTTGTCGACTCTGGTACAGGTACCATGTTTTACATCGACAATGCAGTGTATCATCAGCATGCATATTCTTATTTCTCTTCTGTAGCGTTAAAATATGGCTTTTTAGGCCCAATTTTCAAAAATATTCCCAGGGGACAACCCCCGGACCCCCCTCTCGCACTTTGGCCGCACCAATGTTAAACTCCTTCCGACGCCCCTCGAGTTTCCGCATTCGCAGGAACGCCACCACCCTTCAAGGATCAAGGCGTAGATGCAGCTCCTTAGCGGTGGGAGGTGTGTAGATCAGACCCACCCCAAAGTGGTCAAAGACCGACCCTCTGTTTCTCAATCATGGCCTTAGACCATCCCACTGTGCAGGGGCGTCGCACACGGTACGGTCACTACGGTATTGACCGTACCACTATTTGCCCCAAGTACCCGGTGAATCAATAAATTGCACCGATTTGGGCTCTAAATTCCCAAAATTTTCGGCTCTACCATCCCTCCCCGACGAGTAAATTGCACTTTAGATGGTTGACCGTACTGCAAGTTTTGCGTAGCTAAAGTATGTTAACGCGGTGACGTAATGTTTTCACTGTATGCTGATGTCTATCACGCGCGTGTTCGCGCCAGCTCACGGACGCGCCGTTGTGCGCATGCGCAAACTCTCCCAGCAGCTCGCTTTGCATACGTACACCCTTCAGCAGCCTTCGTGCCTGGCTCTCTTTGTTAGTTGCATTGGCTCGCATGACTCTTGCTCCGTGTTTTCACCCCAGTGGTGACGCTGCTTTATAGGTGCCCACTAGCACGCCTGTTCATGTTCAGCGCTTTATCAATCTTCCCTCTCCTCATCCAAATGCAGTATTTCGCTCTTATGGTTCACAAGGCATGCAGTATGGCTTTCGTATTGGCAGCTTTCGCCCCATTGCATCTTCTGTTATGTCTCCTAATCACTCTTCGGCTTGTGCTTGCCCTGCTGAGGTTACTACTCATCTGCTTAACTGTTGTGACCGCGGAGAAACTGCGGGCCCATTTGCATCTCCGCCATTCCCTCACATGCATATTTCTGGTTTGGGTGCTATCCCGAAGTCTGATGGCAAACTGCGTATCATCCACGACCTCTCGCCCCCTGCCGGCTCGAGTGTGAATGACGGTATATCTCGGGATGAATTCAGCCTGCAGTACGAAACTGTCGATACAGCTATCTCTCTGATCATGCAGGCAGGGTGTGGCGCTCTTTTGACGAAGGTCGACAGGAATGCATTCCGTCTCTGTCCTGTTGCCCCCTGTGACTGGCCTTTTCTGGGCATCTTCTGGCAGGGACAATTCTATCATGACAAAGTGCTACCATTTGGATTGCGTTCTGCACCATACATATTCGATAAATTCGCCACAGCAGTCCAGTTTATTCTCGAGGATGCATGCCACCTAAGCCAATTACTCCCCTACCTGGACGACTTTCTGAGCGTTAGTCCGCCCCACCTGCCCGTTGCGGAACATCATCGCTCACATATCTTAGACATGCTCCGCTATTTGCAGATACCGGTGGCCTCTGAGAAAGTCGAAGGCCCATCCACATGTCTCACCTTCCTCGGCCTGGAGCTGGATTCGCTGACGTTTGAGATCCGGTTACCGTCCGCCAAACATGGGGCGTATCTCGGCAAAGTCAACGGCCTCCTTCAATCAGGCATGGCGTCCCGGCGCGAACTCGCCTCCGTGTTGGGCAATCTCTCGTTCGCGGCCCGGGCTATTCCTGTCGGTTGTACCTTCCTGAGGCGCCTGTACGACCTTGACCGTGCAACAAGCAACCTTCCAAAGCACAAGGTTCTCTCTGGCAATAGCACCGTCATCCAGGAGGACATACTCAGCTTCAGAGCGGCGGTACCTGGATTTCTGTCAGCAGCATGGCGTTGTGGCCCTGCCTGGAAGCGACGTTCCACTGTGCTACTACGCAGCCCTCCTCATGCGCACACTGCGGCCGGCCTCGGTTCGCACATATATGTCAGCCATCTGGAACTTACACGTCGAAATGGGCCTCGAGTACCCGAATCAGCCGACGTCCCTGCTGTCACGAGTGTTAAGAGGCATAGCCCGTTCGTCGGGACCTGGCCGCCCTCGTTTGCCTATCACAACACCCATCCTCCGGCAACTCTGCCAACGCCTCCAAGTTTCCTCCATGCGGCACTCAGTTGACCAGGCAATGCTGCAGTGCGCCTTCACCCTGGCCTTTTATGGCTTCCTGCGCTGTGGTGTGAGCTCACCTCGTTGACGTTTGGCAACGTGGCCCTGGACCAACAATCATTTCGTATCACCATCACGCTGCTGCAATCAAAGACGGACCCGGACGGTAGGGGCACGGTAGTCCACGTGGGCGGCTGTACCGATGTCATCAGCTGCCCTGTTACGGCGATGGTGCGGTACCTGACGGCAGTGTCGGCAGAGTCCCAATCTCCTAGAGATCAGCTGCTCGTCTACCACAATGGCCAGCCTCTGACACGAGCGGACGTCACGAGGGAGGTGCGGACCCTCCTACCGCTTTGTGGGATTACAGATCCGTCCAGCTATGCCAGCCACTCATTCCGGATCGGAGCAGCCACGTCTGCAGCTATCGCAGGCGTACCAGAGCACGTGATCCGCCATATGGGGCGATGGCGCAGCGACGCCGTGCTGCGCTATATCCGTGTTGAGCCATCCGAGGTGCGGCTAGTATCAGAGAAGCTAGCCACAGTGAGTGACTGACCAGTAGCGCTGCACCTTGACGAATGTCTCCTCCGGTATACATACCAACTCTCAGTACCGCTATCGGTACCTAGATTTCTTGACTGCTAGCAGCTCCTGCTATACTCCTCGTTCAATGCTCGCGTTATTTCTGAGCACTGACTTATTTGGTTGGCCCACCAGGGTAACTAGCTTGGGCACTGAACTCTCAGTAGCTGGCAGCATTCTCTCTACTCTCTCGAATCACTCTATTCGGTTACTGCCCTTGGCAGGTCAGCCGCCATTTCGGTCTCACTCCGAATCACTCTATTCGGTTACTGCCCTTGGCAGGTCAGCCGCCATTTCGGTCTCACTCTCGGTCCCCGCCTCTGTCGGGTCGGCCGCCTCCATGGTTACACACTGCCAGCTCCTTCGCCCAGTTACCCTGTGGTGCCAACCAACTACTGCTGTGTCTGTGTGTGGGTCGTGTATGCCTCCGCGTACGGAGCATGCGTTAATGCAAGTTTTGCGTAGCTAAAGTATGTTAACGCGGTGACGTAATGTTTTCACTGTATGCTGATGTCTATCACGCGCGTGTTCGCGCCAGCTCACGGACGCGCCGTTGTGCGCATGCGCAAACTCTCCCAGCAGCTCGCTTTGCATACGTACACCCTTCAGCAGCCTTCGTGCCTGGCTCTCTTTGTTAGTTGCATTGGCTCGCATGACTCTTGCTCCGTGTTTTCACCCACCCACCCACACCGACTTCATTGTGTTACAATTCTTATTCTGTAGCACCCCGCTTATACTACTAACCTCATTCGTCTTCCAAACTCACTCTGCTAAACAAAAACAAGCAGGGATTGGGCACTGAACTCTCAGTAGCTGGCAGCATTCTCTCTACTCTCCCGAATCACTCTATTCGGTTACTGCCCTTGGCAGGTCAGCCGCCATTTCGGTCTCACTCCGAATCACTCTATTCGGTTACTGCCCTTGGCAGGTCAGCCGCCATTTCGGTCTCACTCTCGGTCCCCGCCTCTGTCGGGTCGGCCGCCTCCATGGTTACACACTGCCAGCTCCTTCGCCCAGTTACCCTGTGGTGCCAACCAACTACTGCTGTGTCTGTGTGTGGGTCGTGTATGCCTCCGCGTACGGAGCATGCGTTAATGCAAGTTTTGCGTAGCTAAAGTATGTTAACGCGGTGACGTAATGTTTTCACTGTATGCTGATGTCTATCACGCGCGTGTTCGCGCCAGCTCACGGACGCGCCGTTGTGCGCATGCGCAAACTCTCCCAGCAGCTCGCTTTGCATACGTACACCCTTCAGCAGCCTTCGTGCCTGGCTCTCTTTGTTAGTTGCATTGGCTCGCATGACTCTTGCTCCGTGTTTTCACCCACCCACCCACACCGACTTCATTGTGTTACAATTCTTATTCTGTAGCACCCCGCTTATACTACTAACCTCATTCGTCTTCCAAACTCACTCTGCTAAACAAAAACAAGCAGGGATTGGGCACTGAACTCTCAGTAGCTGGCAGCATTCTCTCTACTCTCCCGAATCACTCTATTCGGTTACTGCCCTTGGCAGGTCAGCCGCCATTTCGGTCTCACTCCGAATCACTCTATTCGGTTACTGCCCTTGGCAGGTCAGCCGCCATTTCGGTCTCACTCTCGGTCCCCGCCTCTGTCGGGTCGGCCGCCTCCATGGTTACACACTGCCAGCTCCTTCGCCCAGTTACCCTGTGGTGCCAACCAACTACTGCTGTGTCTGTGTGTGGGTCGTGTATGCCTCCGCGTACGGAGCATGCGTTAACACACAAAAATACCTTCCGACGCCCCTGCTATGCCTGCCTAAAAAATTACTAGTTTCACACGTAATGTGCATGCGGACAGCACTTTTGAAAGCACTGTGGGATTGCGTGTGCTTTTGAGACAAATGATCTTTTTCAATTGTTCGTAGACTCCGATCTAACGGAGAAGCAGGGGAAATCATTCTTTGAAGCAGTGGGAATGTAGTGCTGATTTTGGAAGCAATGTTACCGCAGACAAGGTCATTCACGATCGTGCAATCTCAACAGCAAATGAACATTTGGGAAGGTAGTGCAAGTGTGACTTTTCTTGCTTGCCAGTATAGGAATGTCTAGTACTTTCACCGTGCATTTGATTTCAATGTGTTAACACAATGTTTATGCCGGTTTCGGCCTGCCTCTGCGTGTCCGCTTACAGCTGGCTCTTCTGCTTGAGCTAGCATGGCCGCTGATCTTAGCTCTTATCCTGCTGTACATTAGACAGAGGACGCCGCTGCTGCCAACTGGTACTGGTGAGTAACGTGCCTTGCGAGCAAGAGAGTCGGCCCGTCGTGGTGTTAATCTGCCCTTTGTCTTGCAAGGGAGTCAGGCAGTCAACGTTTGCGCTCCGACCTCTAGCATGTCCCCCACTGTGCTACACGCACTCTCACATGTGCTGTTCCTAATCCTTCATCCTTACTCTTTCCTCCTTTTTCTGTAGTTCACACAGACATAGCTGCTGCGGTATACATGTACAGTGTATTGTGTAACGTTTTAAAAAGTGTCCACGATGCTATGATCGTCTTCGCGCTCTGTTTTGATTTTCCCCGTGCAGCGAAAGTGTTTCCATTTGCAATGCCGTCGGCTGGTCACTTCCCTTTTGTTGAGCATGTCTTGTGCCAGCGTGCCTTCGTCAAACACAACGGCCCGCAACTGGATTCCAATGGCTTTGGCAGGTTTAGCTTTACAGCGTAAGTTGAACCAGTACAGTACTGTCGGGTAGCGCCGAAGAACGGCCAGGCTAGAATTTCACTAATTCTTAAGAACGGTCTAGGCTGGATGTTTTGCAGATAAGAACGGAAACCGTTATGTACACTATAATGTGCACTCAGACGTATAACTCTGCATAAATGTACATGTAAGACTGTACCATCGAATAAGAACGAAACTGCTGTATTCGCTAAAAATGAGAACAGGCTAGGCGGTAGATGTGCAACAGCTCTGTTCTTGATTTGCGATGATGTGCACCAATCTGCAGTGTGTCAGAATGTAGGGTCAACGCACACCGGCGTACATGTCCATCGGCGTACACATCCATCGGCGTACACGTCCATCGGCGTACAGGCCCATAACTAGAATGTGAAGAGGTGACAAAGAGTGGGAAGGGGCAAGCATGTACACACAAGTAGTGCGGTCAGGATCCCTGACGTACCCTGGATAACCTCTATAGACTACCAAGCCGTATGGTGCCCTGTTCTTAATTTAGAACCCGCTGCTATTGGTTGATGTTTGTGTGTGCAGGTCACATTCGCTTAGGACAATAATCCAAAGCCTTGCCGCAGATCAGTCGATCGACTGGACATCGCTATCAAACTTTCCTAAAGATCTTGGCAATTTAGCAGAGGTGAGTTCTCTACTCCGGCTTGGCTTCCAGGCCTCTACTGCTCTTTAGAAGAGTGAAGTTCTCTACTCCGGGCTTGGCTTGCAAACCTCTACTGCTCTTACACTTTAGAAGAGGATGAACGGTGAAGAAGAATATCATTAATAGGACACATGGGTTACGAGTTATGAGTAACTGTCCACTTCTGTAACAAGATAATAGGCACTCAGAAAGTGCGATAACTAAGCACAAAACTGACAGACTACTGAGACATTCAACGACCTGACACCTAGCTCTAACACAATTTTCGCTAATTTTCGCTGCGCTCACCTTCCCCTCATAGGTCATACCATAACCTTGAACCTTCCAAGCTGGAAGGCTGTTGGTTTGCGCACTGGAAATGTGTTAGAGCTAGCTAGCTAGGCTAGAGCTAGGTGTAAGGTCGTTGAATGTCTCAGTAGTCTGTCAGTGTTGTGCTTAGCTATCGCACTTTCTGACCGCTTATTATCTTGTTACAGTAGCGGACAGTTACTCATAACTCGTAACCCATGTGTCCTTTCTCATTTTTACATTCTAC